CCTTCCCCCAACTTGTGCCGTTCGCACCGCTCAGTCAGTCGCCATCCAAACAAACCCCGACGCCCCGCCTTTTGCGCCCGTCGTGTGCGCCACGCTGCCAACACACTAAACCCTTTTATGAATTTCGATGTGCATGATGAACATGCGCAGAATTTGACGCAGCCACAAATACATGTATTTAATTATGCATAGTTATGCACAATTCGTACATAATTATTATGCATTGCAATTGTGCAGCAGATATCGATTCTGCCAAAATGCAATGAGTGTTTACAACACAATGTGCGTGGCACTGCACTTTTTCTCACAATAACACGCCCCGCCCACGGCGCGTCCCTAGGCCGTTGCCTACTGCCAAATGACGACAGCATGCACTTACTCGCCTTGCGGGCGGTTCGGGGCCTACACCCCGCGCTACTGCTGCTCCGCACTACTTGTGAGGCGCCGCGGTCCTTCCCACCCTGGCGGCTCCCCTCCCCGCCGAGTGTTGCTGCCGCCATGGCGGGGAGTCTCTGGGCCGGCCGGCGCTGGCCCGGCGCGGCGCGGCGCTGCGGTGGCGCCAGCGCGCCCGCCCGCCTGTTAGTATAGGCAAGCCCGCCGCACCGCGCGCACAGCACCGCAGCCCGGGCCGCCCGCCGCCCAGCGTACGCTCGCCCGGCGCCGCCCGGCACGTGTCCAGGACCGTGTCATGCACCTGCCCGTCGTCGGCCCCGCCGAGCCCGCTCGCCCCCCGTCGTCGGCGTGGTGCGCCACCCGTTGATCGGCGCCAGCGCCCCGGCCCCGCCAGTCGGCCTCCGTCCGCGACCATGACGTCCTGCTGACCGCGACACACCAGGACACTCCAACCCACCTAGTCCAGGTAGGCGGCAGCCCTGGCTATGTGGACTCTTTGCGAACAAACTTTCTCTACCTCCCCCGATTTCCCCCCATACTCCGCCCGGATAAAAGTTGTGGAAGGACTCTCTGGTCGAACGTGGACGAACACACGCTCACACCTTGAGACACAATCACATAATATGCTCCCACAACACTTTGCCAACCACTCTGCCAGATTCTGGTTCTACGTCACACAGAACTGATGTTGTTGACATTCCTTTTCCGCGGTACGGCGTTAAGCTGCGGCACGCCAAGCAGGTTCTAGTTTTAGAAACACCGAAACTTTTGATCAGCAGTTACATCTGCTAGTTGTTGTTGTGGGGAGCCCGAACAACAATTAGCAGAGCAGATAGAGCGAGTCTGATTGCGCAGTAATTGGAACCTGTGCAGGTACGTACCCGCGGAACCGCCAACAAATAGAATAACGCATCATATTAATCGCAAATAACCAATTTTATGGTCGACGTTGTAGGAAAATTACAAAATATGTTCTCCGAACAATTGCAAGAGTTGAGTAAATATAAATGTATCAGAGTGGACGCGGACGCCGTAATGCTGCAGGTTTGCCTACTCCCCCCGTGAAGCGTGGCCGGCGTGGCCCCTGAGGCCCAAAATGGTATGCAATCCCGCAACACTGCGACGTTAGCTCTGATCACTCTACATGTAAAGGGGCAATTTTGTACCCCACAAACGGGAACGTTTTCGCGCACATCCAGGAAATTTTTTCTTAACAATAGACAAATTGTGTAAAACGTTACTGGATAGATTGTGTAAAACGTCACCCAATTTGTCATGTTTTAGGAACAAAATTGTCCTTTTACATTTAGATCACGGTACATGCAATTGTACAAGCATTTCACTGTTATTATTTACTCACTTCAGCACTGTGGCAGAAGGTAGAAATCTTGGCAGGGTATCAGCGAGGGAGCGACAAAAAGTAAGGGGTACAGTGCTGAGGATGAAGAGCATTCAAGAGCCTGCAAAGTTGTGTTCGAAAACAGACGCAGACATTAATTAAATATCAACAATGTAAAGACTGTTGTTGGAGATGCAACTGGGCAGCAAGAGCAAAGGACGACTCGCCTCGAGCCAAGCGGACCACTCAGGATGCAGAGGGGTGATATTGAGGGGGGGGGGCTGCACCCAACGCAGCGGGGTGAGGGTGAAGGGGGCGTTGGAGCGGCCCACCGGCCTCTCTAGAGAGTTGTTGCGGCCCGTCCACTAGGAATTTTAATGAGCTTTGCAAGGGAGCGGGAGAGACGGGAGGGAAGGGAGTGGCGTTGCTTTGTTGGGGGATGCGGGGGGTCGTGTCTGGACAGCAACACCGAATAAGAAAGCTCGATGCATAGAGAAGGGTCGGGAGGGCTGAACAAGGGTTCGGACTAGGCGATAGTAGTACGCAGAGAAGAGGGTTGCATGTTTAAGGAAAACTGTGGGCAGGCGCGGAGCGGAGGGGAGAGGGGGGGGGGCAGGTCAAGAAAACTGTGAAAATCTGGCAGCCAACGAGGTGCTACATGACGGGAGGTGGTGGCAGAGGGGGCAGTGTTTTTGTTTCGGTGAGGGCCAGCTCGCCGCTGCCGCCCGCCCGCTCGGATCAGAGTTGTCCGAGGCGGTCCTGACGTCCGGCCGGCCGGGCCGCGCCGCTATCTCGCCGCGCTATCTCAGGGCGTGGGCCGTGGGAGTCGCGCGGGGACGTCATCGCGGTGCGGGCCGGGGCTGGGCCGGGTTCGGCCGGCAGGGGTGGATTTGTAGAAATGCGGGCGGCCTCCCCCGGAAGGGACGGGAAGGGAAAGGGTAACGAAACGAGGGGTGGGGCACGTGCCAACTGAGGGGGGGGGGGGGACAACAACTCCTCTCCTGATTGAGTCGGCTGCCCCTGACCTTTCTCCCTTGCTCATTCTCATGACGACTGGTGGGATGCTGGCTGCTAGTGTCGCGCGGAAATACAGTTTTGTGAGGCTGCACGGAGCAGATGTGCGAGGAGGGGCGAGAGAAGCGAAGTCGAATGGAAGGGTATTTCTCCAGATTCCAGGAGCCCGGAGCGGGCGGGGCGTAAGAAGAAGAACAGGACTGGAAAGCTGGAAGGGCGCCCGCACACCTCCCCTCGCCCTACACTGCTCCCTGGGCCCTCCCCTATCCTCCCCAGTCTATGAGTAGTGGTGGACTGCGCGGGCACCATTCCAGCTTAGTTTTCTTCGTCCTCCTGCCCCCGCCGTTCCGGGCTCTAGCGAAATACCAAATACACTATTCCAGTCTATTTTAATTAATTAAAATAGGGGATTTAGATAGATAGGGTTTAAGGTATTTTAAGTTAATGTCTGCTCTTTCCGAGTTTTGGTACCTTAAGAGTCGACTTCTGGACGCAGAAGAGAGTATATTCCAGGTCATCCAAAATGGAGGTGAAAGAGACCAATCTTAGTTACTGATTTGTATATTACCACCGAAATGTTATGGGCAACAGCAAAACAAGGAGAGTGTAAATTCCTCTGGAACTGGAACTTAAAATGGTAAAATAATGAGAAGAATTAACCAGAAAAACACAATTGTTTGAGAAATCTTCGTGACTCCGTGGCCTGTCCTTTGACGAAAATTATAGTTGAGCCAACCAAAAAAGGACGAAGAAAAACTACATCACGGAGTCCCTCCTCGTCAGAACAAACTCCCTTTCGATATTTTGGTCGGCCCCTCTCCGACGCGCTGGTTTTCCTGGAACCATAGGGATACACCTGGCAGGCAGGTGCTAATGGACCTGTCCCCGTTCGTTAGCCCGCGCGTCCCTGCGCTGGGTGTCTGTGTGATCGTGCCCGTGTGTGTACTGGGCCGGGACTGACGACCAACGGGCAGTAGAGAAAAAGGCAAGAGAGGGGGACGGGGGAGTTTTCGTTTTCGATTTGCATTCCCTTGGATTTTGTTGCGCTGTTTAATTTTCTCTTAATTTTTTTTCTCTTTTGTTTTTCGCTATATAATAGATTTCATGTCAGCGGCACACACGACCGCTACCAGTTTTTCTCTCTTTTCCCCCTTTCCCTCCCGGCGGGCAGTGAGCCGGCGGCTGCAGCCGGCAGTGAGGCGTTGGCCCGCTGGCCCGTTTAACTTTGCTACAAATGCGGAGCGCTCTCGTCGCTCTGCAGTGTAAATAGATGCAGCCCTTATCGCTCTCGCCGAGGTGCCTCTGCTTGGTCTCATTACACCGTGGATCACGGCGGCGGTGAGGCGGCCTTGAGGCCCGAGCCAAGGCTGAGGCGGTGCGGTGGCAGTTGGGTGCGCGTGCCGAGGCAGTGCCGTGGCAGTGCCGTGCAGGGAGGAGAGGGCTCTCTTGCTCCTCTTCTCCTCCCCGGGGCTGCGGGCGCGACCGGACCGGTCTATTTCCGTACGCCGGCCCCGGCGCGGCCCCGCGGCCGGTCCACTCGTGATAGCGGCCCGCGGCACGGCCAACGATCTAACGCGCCGGGGGTATTTACAGAAAAAAAATATGTTAAAAAAACACGAAAGGGCACCTGTTTACATCCAAGTTGACATGAGATGATTGAAAAGTACTCGTATGGAATCAAAACCTTAGGGAACACTCAGGTTAGTCGTACGCAGGCAGGAATTGTAATTTGCTAGAGTGCGCGGTTGCCTTGGCGGTTGCGCGGTCGCTTACCCGCCACTTGCTTACTCCACGGCGTTCCATTAGTTAGGAAAAACGAGTGCTCCTCATGTAGTGGAATGTGTAACCCCCTCTCTCTCTCTCTCTCTCTCTCTCTCTCTCTCTCTCTCTCTCTCTCCCCCCCTTCCATCTACTGATCTACCCGGAGCATCCTCTGACTTGCACCGCTTGGTCGCACACTGAGCGTAAATGTTTTGCGGTGCGCTCTTACCGGCAAAGCAGGAGTGGGGAGCGGGGCGCCCTTCCTCCCGGGGGACGTGGCCTAATTTATCTGTAACGAGGTGTATAAATCCATCACTCAAACTTCCTCGCAAATATTGTGCTCTTCAGTCTCTGGAGTGTGACACCATTTTGTACCTCGTTTGTACCTTTCACGAGATGGAAACACTCCTGTTATGAAATGTCACCAAATTTATATTTTATATTTCCTATTTTACCGAGGGACGGGGGGGATTTGCGTTTGACTTATACTCGAGAAACAACACTAGTAAATGAAGTGCTCAACTGGCCTGTACATGGAAGTGCCCAACACTGTTGCACACTTATAATAAAAGTGTTTGACGGGATATTTGAGTACTTTGAAGTGTTCAACAGTAAAGTCCAAAGTTTTGTAGCCAACACACTTAATAGTATTCAAATATCCTGTCAAAACCTTTAACCCTTAAAAGTGAGCAACATAATGTTGAGCACTTTCATGTGCATGCTAGTTGAGCGCCTTTTTAATCAGTGAAAGGTAGGACTTACTACCTTAAATAAGCTAAATAATATTAGTGCCTTTAGACAGCCATGGGAGTGTTCAAAGGCACTAAAATTTAGCACCTTTCGTTTATTATAGAACCTTCCAGGGGTGCGAATCTTGTAGTGCCTCTGTTTGCACTAAGTTAATTAACAGAGCCAAGAGGGGTGTTGATTTTAACTGTTGTTGTTTTATTGGTGTTTTGCAGTGTATTTGGGGTGGTAGTACGCAGAGAAGAGGGTTGCATGTTTAAGGAAAACTGTGGGCAGGCGCGGAGCGGAGGGGAGAGGGGGGGGGGGCAGGTCAAGAAAACTGTGAAAATCTGGCAGCCAACGAGGTGCTACATGACGGGAGGTGGTGGCAGAGGGGGCAGTGTTTTTGTTTC